ATAGATAGATAGATAGATAGATAGATAGATAGATAGATAGATAGATAAAATAAAAATAAAAAAAGAAACAGAAGGAATGGGTGAATATGAGTAAAGGGAGAACAAGAGGAAAACAGGAAGGAAAAGAACCCAGCTCCACAAGTGGATGCACAGAAGTTCAGCAGGATCACAGGTTCCTCTCCATTTCTCAGTGTTGAGAACTACAAATCCTAGGAACCTGAACAAAAATGTGCCAGAAAACAAGACCTATGCCTATTGTAAAGAGGGTAAATAAATACCAACGGCGACAACAACAACAAAAAAAAAAACATTCTGAAAAAAAAATCAAGATTCTATTTGATTGGATTCACCTCTTTTATTCTTACTATGTATTTCCCCAAGCTTAGAAAATATAAATTATCATTTCCCCAGTTAATGATCAGAAGTGAACATCCATCTTTATAATCTGAGAATACTCAAAGTGTTTATTGCAAAGATTCAATGCAATAAGACAGAGACACAACATTTGTCTATATTTTTATACATTCTTTACTAATTGAAGACTCCAACTCCTTAAAATAAAAACTAATGGGTAAAACCATGCACAGTTGTCCCTCTATCCAAACACACATCGCACATAAACAGGAACCTCAGAAAATGTAATGGGATTTTTAACTTGGACTAAAAAAATATCAAGGAGCCAGGATTAACTCTGAATTCTTCAGAAATTATAAAGCATAACCAACTTTGGGCTCATTGTAGATAGGAAAATGTCAGCATGTAGAGATGCTGCCTCAGCAGATAGGCCAGAAATAGCAATAACAGCAACATGTCCATGACACAAACACGTTCACACATGAGTTTCAGAATATCCATTTCTTTTCATTTGGATTATTCCCAGTAAATGTCCACACTGTCTCTCTCCAAAAGTAAGAGGGGCTGCCCTTTTTATGAAAATGCTTACATACTAGAATTCTAAGAATTCTACATATGACTCTTCATGCAACGCTATCAAGGAAAGAGTTCCTGAGATCAAAATAATAGAAACAGTCCTTTCGCATTTGTGTCTGGGTGCCATTCTGGAGTGTTGGCATCGCTAAGGGTCATAACCTTGGGCTTCCCAGGTTTTCCTATTAAAATATCATTGCTTTAAAAACAGCTTACTATAAAAATACCAATCACAGTCAAAAGATTAAGTACACAAACAAAAAACAAGCTGAAGAAACATGTGCTCAACACTCTGTCAGCTTCAGTAGAGAGAGATTCCATGCCAACGAGCCAAAATGAGACAGGAGCAGACTGGAGAAAGAGAACTAAGAGAGGTATTATCATCTCACACCATCTTTTCAACAAGTACTAGACTTAGCAAATGCATCTCTATTTTTTGCCTTGCAACCTTGAATCTCAAGGCTAAAGTTAGATGACTTAGGAATTTTTAAAGGTCCAATTATTTCATTTAGGGCTAGCACTAGAGCTAAATTAAAGACATGCTAACAAGTTTCCCTTTTGAGCCTCATTAATTAAGAAAGTAATCAGAGTAAAGAGGGGGGAAAGAAGGTAGCTGGAAGGCAGCTTCAAGTACATAGCAGTGAGGTGCCACCATTTTTTCCTACTAGCAAGGCAAAGGGAAGACTAATCAATTCCAGATTATGGAATCTGAAATTCTGAAGTATTTTACATGTAAATACATATTTTAACTACACACATTTCCCTTGATTGCCTGAAGACTAAACTAATCTTATTCAAAGGAAATTTTGATTCACCATAATCAAAAGGTAAAATTAAGGCCTGCTTTACGCCACAAGTTTTCCTTGGGTGAGCTTGTCAAAAATTCCTCGCTGTTTTTAAAGACTACAATACAGAATTTTCAATATTTTATTCGAGACAAATCCTGCTCAGAAATACCTAGTAATTCTATAATTACTTGTTAGACAAAGTTGATAATTTACAGTTATTTCTTAAAGAAAGTTTCTAATTTACAATTATATTTTAAAAAAATATTTAAATGGATACAAATGAATTTTTAAGGTTCAGACAATGTTTGTAAATTGGTGTGATGATCAGTTTAAATGCTATACACAAAGCGCAGTGCTTAGTAAACAACATGTATTTAATAAGTCAATTCTTACGCACCAACGCCAAAGAAATTTCACCTCACATTGTCTCAAAATATGCATGCCTTTCAGGGTAAAGTGTAAGTGATCTCAATGGAACAGCTTTAAAATAATTGAATATTAAAAAAAAAAACAATAAAATAAAACCTAAGAATCAATGTGCACATTCGGCATTTTCACTTTAAAACTGTTCATTTAATCAACTATGTGAGGAAATTTGCTTTGAACCATTTCATTAGATCATTTATGCACATATACGTAGATGGAAGTGTATCATAAGGGAATCTTAGTGTAATTTACAGACTGGGAATTATAAAGTATTAATGTTAAAATTTTCAAAATAAAATTAACAAACTATTCAACATACCTTTCTGTTGGTAACAAAATGTATTCTCAAGTTTACAAAGCAAATCCATACTTTCATACTTATTTTCATTGACTTTTATCCAGAAGCAGTTTTCAGACATTTCACTTGGTCCAATCTACAATCAGAGACGAGCCACGCATAAACAGCTGGACATTTCACCCATCCTCGTCCAATTATAGCACACAGATCCAGCATCCCAGGGCTAGAGCAGATGTTTATGAAGTCAGGTCCCTAAGACTTATCCCCAAAGTCTGCTCAATGACAGACAGATCCTGCAGAATATTAAGCATGTAAGTCTTATGAGAAGAAAACAGTTTTCATGATCAAACGGTTGTGGATATGAAGCTACGCGTACGGAGATTTAATTTGTTTCCTCACAGCAATGTTTCTTGGTTATTCGTCACATTCATTTGCACTATGCATGATGTGCACAATCTCCTGCATTTCACTGCTTAGGAGCCCACCCTTCAGAAAGAAGGCCTATGGCTTATGTGCATGCTCTGATAACAGACAGTACTCTCACTAAGAGTTTCCAACAGGCAAAGGTAACTAGGAACACTAATATCTTGGATTTTTGAGAAGCACTTCATATGTTTACAGTTAAAGGCAATAAACGTGAGTTATTAATTTATTTGCAAATCAAATCCCATGGAATTATCAACTCAAACCAAATTTACAAGCTAGAAACTACTAGATTATCGCAAAGGATTTTGACTTTAACACTTCCCATAAAATAATGATGACTACATCAAATATATGTGCTTATATGATACATATGCAATTTCAAGCACTGTCATTAGTCGAGGTCTCATTGGAAACTATGTATTGGTACATGTACACTGAAGTGCTAATCTAGGGAAATGTATGTCTACACCCACTGCTCTTACCTTTAACCAGTTCAATCTTCTCATGCTGATTTCAGGTTTAAATTCCTTCTTTGGTTTCAACCCAAATGGTAAGTTTAATGGAAGAGAGCTTTGCCCACCGAGAAATCCCAGGGGAGGTGGTGGTGGTGGTATTGGACCACCAAATGGCATTGCCACTCCTGGAAGTGGGGGAGGAGGGGGAGGGGGTGGCGGTGGGGGAGGCAGAACTCCTTCAGAGAGTGCTGGTGGAGCTGAAGGAAGGGCTGAGGAGCCAGTTTCACCTTCTGCTAAAGTCTGCAAAGGAAGTTTTGTACCAGGTGACAAGGCACCAAACTGGAGGGGACAAAAATAATAAGAGAACTAGTAAGAACATGTGCACAAATAGTAAACATATATGTTATTCAAAATAAGTTATTACCTTAAAATAAAAACACCAGTAATTAGCAATTGCTTGTGAAAGTCAAAAGTGCTTTTCCCAGTCTGAACATATAGCCATAGCTTTCATTCTTAAGAAAATTTAATTTCCCTATGTTGAAGCAGCTGTGCTAGAAATGGGTTCATAGGACTAGAAGACTACAAAGTCAGCAGCTTTGTGAGGAAGCAAGTCCACTAAGGTATGCAGAGAATATACAGCAGATGGAAAATCTTGTACAGCTCTTTTATTGTGTGTGTGTGTGTGTGTGTGTGTGTGTGTGTGTGTGTGTATGAGTGTAAAGCATTATTACATTATTATATTCTCAAAGAATGCAGCAAGTCTAGATGATTGGATTGATATTACATATATACACATACACACACATACATCCGTAGGAATGAAAAATAATTAAGATTTATTACACATAATAATAATATTCAGGAAAAAAAATCAATATATGCTCGTGCCTTTGCTCCAGTCTTCTCAATAGTGCCCAAATACGTATCAGGGGTTAGAAGGGAAAACTAAATTTCCCAGTAGGACTTACAAGGTACATCATTGGCTCCTTTCAGTGGTTTTCTTTTAATTCTATGTCTGTGCCAACCTCACATACTACATGGAATATACTAGTACCAGCTGTTCCTCTTGCCCAGAATGTTAGCTTAGTAAGACTTCTCCAATTTACTTCTAGACATTCCTGCTGCAGGGTGTGGCTGGCATATCCTGCCCTCCTCCTAGGGCAGGACTTCCTCTCTGCCAGAGGTCCATCACTATATAATCCAGACATTTTGGTTCCTCACCCTCCCCTTCCTTCTCTCTCTTCTTTCTGTGTCTCTCCTCCTCTTTTCTCTTCTTTCTTTCTGTGCATGCTTCTCCTCTCTTCTCCCTCTCAAGCCCCTTCCAATAAACCTACATTTATTTATATACATTATCTTGCCATTTCTCATTCCATTTATTTCTATCATCTCCTACTTGCTTTTTCAACTTGAACTAACAGGACAGTTTGTCTTGCCCACTCAGTCAGATCCTAGTAAAACCCAATACTTCTCTGAAGCTCTAAGCAAAGCTGTGATATTTATGGAAAGGAACACTGATCATTCTCTCTTTGATAGTACATAAGCCATGAGCTAAAGACTATGTTCTGTTTTATCCTTCAAAGGATGTGATGAATACACATGATGACTGAAGAAATGCAATGGATAAATAATTAAAAAACAAGGATAAAGGCAAGCAAGGGGCAGAAGCATGGCATAAGACAGTATCTCATTTCTTGGAGAATGGAGCTTCTTAGAGTCAAACATCACAAGGAAACAAAATCAGATCAAAACCTGCAAAAAGACCACAGCATCTCCTTCTCATTTTGATTATCACAGTCTCACAGAACAGAGTTCAGTGAATGGACTGTAATGATGCAAAAGACTTTCTGAGTTATCAGTTTTATAATATGACAAGTTCTTTAAATTATTAACATTCTAAGTTACCCATATGCATATATAAAAATACTCATGTATCTAGGTGTATACATAAAACACATAAGTAGGTTACAGTGTTGGGAAGAGGGAAAGGAAAATAAAAACAAATACCCTACGGTGTTAAAAATGAATGTGCATGGTAATTTTAAACCACTAAAGCAAGGATCTCCTCCAATAGCCATGAACAGAGATTGGTCCTGGGTAAAATTTAAAACAATGTAAAAGATTCTTACTTTGTTTCAATTTTACAGCCTCTGCTGCCCCATTTTATATAAAAAATATAATGCAACAATAACTTATCCAAAGATCTTGAATATATTTTTGTAATGCCATATTTTCAAGATGTAATCCTTCAAATGGAAAAATTTTTAAACAAATTTATGAAATTTACATCAGCCCAAGACAGAAAAAAGTCAAATGTTTCAGCTATTAACTTTAAGTCAATAAATTCAAAGACAGGAGAAAACCGGTTTCATTTAAAATAAAAGAGTCTTATCTTGAACAGAATTTTGCTGATACACAGTACTTCTTACAGCAAATTATAAAAAAATGAGAATATTATTATTTTTTTTCAGTCATACTGTATAGCACAGGCTGGCCTAAAACTCTCAGCAAAAGATCATAGACAGAAAACATCTTGGCTAGCTAAGGGTTTTCTTGTTTACAAAAGACTTCGATTTTTAAAAGCAGCTGTGTTATAGAGTATCTTCCGGACATTTTTTTTTTTTTACAAAGCTAACATTGCATATGCAAAAGGAAACAAAATGGCCAGTTAATGCTGAAAACAATATACCTGAGCCTAATTCCAAGTAGTCATAAATTAGGATGACAGAAAAACGTAAGTCCTTGATTATTGCTCATGATTGCATATATATATATATATATATGCATATATATATATATATTCATGCATGTGTACATATATACATAAATGTGTGTATATAAATGTATGTGAGTGTGTGTGTGTGTGTGTATATATATATATATATATATATATATATATATATATATATGAAAGAATATAACTGTGAATGTGCATCTATGGTCAATATAACGCATGCAGATGATTTTCCTCCTATCTCATGGCTTATGTGTACAGCGTGCATGGGAGCTATCTGCTCATAATCCAGATTTTCTCTTTTTTGTCATGTTTTAAATCTGTTTACTTTTGGAAATTGAAAAATTATCAGAAAATGTTCTCATTCAGCTAGGGGTTATCTTTCATGGCAAGGCAACCCATAGGCTGATGGTTTGGAAAAATAAATAGCTTGAGCAATAATTTCCTGCAGTAGGATAAAGATCAGTGATGGATGACAAATCTAAGAGTAAAAGACTTTTTTAACCTTTACACTTAATTACTTAGGAAACATGTGACTTTAGAAAACCCAAGTGAAACATTCAGAAGCCAGTTAATTAGGAAAAGCCTAGATATTCCTAAAGACTAAAGGAGGAAAAAAGGGACACACAATATCTTAAAAAAATAAATAAATAAAACAGAGCAGCCTAGAGATACATATGGATAATACTGGAAAAGTACAAGGAAAAGTAAAATTTACACATTTTGCAACTGTGAAGATCTATCTGACCTTTATTCCCTGAAATTATTTCAAACTCAAACTCACTTGAGATGGTATTTTACCTGGGATTTAAAAGCTTGTAACTCTGCTTGAAGCTCATTAATCTTTGCCTCCTTTTTTTGCAACTGAGCCTGGGTTTCTTGGTGGTCAGTAAATTCTTTTTCATACTGAAAAGGAATAAGAGAGGGAGATGAAAATGAAAAGCATTATTCTTCATATAAAAATATGTTCTAATGATCTGTCAATAAAACACTTCTGAATCAGTTTCATCAAAACAGTGGCAGACTCCTGACAAAGGGACCACAAGCTTTTCTCTAAGTCTCTCCAGGTCCCTGCAAAATCATTTATTCAGAAGGAAAGAGACAAAACCTGAAATGGAAAACCATGACCTTCTATTCCAAAGGGAGCAAACAGGCCCATAGTTATCGATGACCCTGGCATTTTTCTTAAAAGTCCCTAAATATCATAGCTATTTTGAATAACGCAACAGAAAGCAAAGCCTTGTATTGGCTGTGCTGCCAAGCTCCATCTGCAGAACCTGACAGTTGAAATGTATCTGAAGCTCATCAATATGATTTAAAAGTGTTCTGTTTTAATAGTTTCAGTGGTTCGCAACTTCATTCCATAAACACAGCAACCGTTTCGTTTATTTTTCTTATTGCTCATCTCCCACTATCTTACAGAGATTAATGATAAATTAGTTTTTCAAAGTCCCTGGTGCAATACCTTCTGGGAGGAAATAATAAAATCTGGTGTTCCAATGAGTTTTTTAATTTATATAGCCACTCATCACAGGTTGCAATCTTGCATTCAGATAGTTTCAGTTTGTGATCATCAAGATTCAAAACCTATCCTGAGGGAGCTGAATTTAAATAGAGTATTGTTTGATAATCAAGAACAAGTATGCGGCAAATCACAAAACGATGCAACTACTTTGTGCCTCCAGACTATGAGTACAGTCTGAGCATGACTGGGAAAAGAGTAGGATGGTATGGACCTGTCTTGGGTAGGGTATCTACTGCTGCAACAAAACACCACAACCAAAAAGCAATTTGGGGAGGAAAAAGGATTTATTCAGCTTAGTCCACAGCACTTTGCATCACTGGAGAAAGGACAGGAACTCAAACATGGTGGGATCCGTGAGGCAGTTGCTGACACAGAGGTTAAGGAGAGATACTACTTACTGGCTTACTCAGCCTGCTTTCTTGTAAAACAAAGTTTACCCAGCCCAGAGATGACATCACTGACAATGGGCTGGGGCCCTTCTCCACTGGTTGCTATTTAAGAAAACGTCTTACTGCTGGGATGGTGGAGACATTTCCTCAACTTGAACACTATTCTATCTGAAGACTCAAGAGAAAGAAAGCAGCCACTACTACCACTAAGCTTACCAAAGGCTTTTACCTACATTTCATTTATTGGGGAGTTCTTACTTTCCCAGTAACAGAAAAAGGCAGTTAAGAAGTTGCATCAGTGAAAGATCTGAGATTAAAAAAAAAAAAAAGGAAGAAAAAAATAATACAAGTTCCTGTTTTCACAATCTGACTCACATCTAATTCCTATAATGGATGCTTTTAGAATGCTTAATAATTTTTCAATAAACTTAGAACAGTTTAGGTTCCCAGGAATAAGCAACATGATGCACAGCTTCATGGCCCCATATCTGAGTAGTATTCCAGTTTTTTTAGTCTTTAATAGACAAAAACATCTTTAGGTTTCCTAACCAAAATTCCTTGAGTTAGAAGTTACTTTAATTTCTACCTTTCAAATGAAGAAAGTAAATTGCAGACTATAAATCCTCATTTTCACCCTGAGCTTCTGTTTAATGATAAGAATATGGGAAAATGACTTCCACCAGTTATTTTCTGACTTTCACATGTGTACAAGGGCACACAAGTACATGAATAAAAGAAAGAAAGAATAAATGAATGTAATTTTAAGTGTTTTAAAATATCCAAATAATCAAATTATATTCTGTGAAAAAAATTTAATTTTTAGAATAGTCAAAAAATAATTGTACAAACGCCTTCACTTCTCCCAAACCACTCCATCATGACCACATCAAACACATCGTCGTATTAGCAAACTAAACTAAAAAGATACTAATGTCAAGCCAAACAAAGCAGCTTATTGACAAATAGCATTTAAGTTTATAGGTTAACTTGCATCGCTTTATATTTGGTTTCAGCATATATTAATTATACAAAACATGGGGGTTCTTTAATCATTTTCATAATGCTTATAATATAGTTTAATTATTCCACACACTCCTCCCAACCTACCTCTTTTACTCCAGTGGTGTCATCCTTCTGTCATGTATTCATTTCCCCCTAGGTTCTACACAAGACATGAACACACAATATACACCATTCTGTTTCTTGGCTTATTTCCCAAACAAGTGTTTTATAAATATTCCTAAGCAGCTATTTCAGCCTCTCTGTACTCTGGCCCTTCATCTAGCTCTGGATATCCCTCTAGTATCTGAGTTTTTATATCTAAAGTAGCTTTTCTAGCATACTTTTCATCTCATACTCAACTTTAGCTAACTGAACATCTGACACTTTGTTATCCACAGCTTGGCAAAATTCTGTTACTACAAAAAACCATCAACTACCAAATTCCAAATCAAATGACCATCTCATGGCCCCCATTCATTCACCACTCCACAGCTGTGCTGCTTAGTGTCACAGTGGGCGCCACAGTACTTAAATGTACTTAAATGTAAACAAAAAGCATTTAGCACTAAGTTAACAATTGAGAATATCTGCAATAATAGGAAATAATCCCAAGAACAAATGGAGCTGTATGAAATTAACAGTCTTGTATACAGTAATGAAAACCATCAGCTAAGGGAAGAGACAATATACAGAATGTGAGAGAATCTTTGCACATCCAACAAGGGATTAATATCTAGAATCCATCAGCAAGGCCAAAAGCTGAAGACCAAAATCAAATTTTCCAATTGACAAATGGAGAAAAGCAGTGAAGAGGCATTTTTCAAAAAAAAAAAAAAAAAAAAAATACAAAGGGGAAATAAATATTTTTAAAACATATTTAATATCTTCAGCGAGGAATGAAATGCAAATTCAAACTAATTTGAGATTTTACTTTACTCATGGCAGGATGGTTGTTGTCTAGAAAACAAACAATAAATTATAGTATATATGGAAGATACAAGGAGTCCTTAAAGATTGCTGTGGGGATGTAAAGCAGTGTAGACTCCGGAACTTGAAAGGGCAGTTCCTCAAACAACTAAAAACCAGGCCAGAAAAATGGCTGAGCTTATTTGCTTCCTAGCCTCATAACCTGAGTTCAATCTCGGGAATCCACATAGTGTGAGGAGAAAACTGATTCCAGAAATGGAACACCAGTATCCCACAAACCCATAAGGATTAAGGACCCTGTGGAAAAAGGTACAGAAAAATTTCAAAAGCCGTAGTGAAAGACAATTACAGTGAAGCGGTATTTTCCAAACATAAAGTACCTGCTCAAATAAACTCACAGTGGTTATGGACAGCATGTGAAAGACATTGACAGCCAAACAAAATCCCAAATGGATCAAGTAGGTGGGCACAAAGTCTCGCTGCTCACTGAGGAACTATTAGCAACTCACCACTACTGAGGGAGCGAAAGACAGTTTCAAGGAGCTAACAACTGCTAGGTCAACTGGCAGGACTAGAACCCACACACAAGAGAATTTGGTCAACAATACTTAGGTCTCAATGCACTTAAAAATAAGCAAGGAAAACAGGAAAGGTGAGTGGATAAGGATGTGGAAATAGATTGGAGGGGTGAGGTAAATATAATTGAAATGAACTGCATGAAATTCACAAATATTAATAAAGTATTTATTTAAGTATTTTTTTTCAAGTTAAAAGCTTTTAGAATGAAGCGCTTCTTTGTCTTCACCAAGCACAGTTTTTGTGTATTGTGCAGGTTTGGTTTTATCAACTTAAAATTAAAGTCTCCAAGGAAGACAGAATAAGAAATGTCTCCATCAGATGGGCCTGTGGGCATTATCTCTGAGACAGTTCCTTGATTGGTGGGTCATTTTCCACTGTATAATAAATATGTAACAATGTGCCTAAGATAGGTCCCTCAAAATGTTAGGTTGTAGAGACAGTGAGCAGAACAGCCATGGTCAGTCCTTGTGGTGAGCAATGTCTAATTGTGAGCTTGAAGCAAACCGACTGAACTGGATATATAAAACCTGCCAGCCATAGGAGGGGGGAACTACGAGAAACTCTAAGTCATGGGGTAAAGAGGCCTCACCTCAGATTTTAAAACCATGAGGAGATAGCTGGAAATGCCAGTAAAAATTCAAGAGCCAGCAATTAAACAGTATACAATCTGCTGAAAACTAAAAGGAAAGTAGGCTGAGAAATTAGTAATGACCAGGATGGAACTCTGAAAACTCAAACCAGCAGCTGTGTGAATTACTGAATGACAAAGAATGAGTAGGCACAGAAATTAGCTTTGAACCTACTGCAGTTTTCTAAGAAAGAATAAGTTTAAGAAAAGGAAACCAGATGGAAATCAGAACAGAAACCCAAAAGACCTTCTATCTGACTATAGGAAATTAAAACCAGGCAGTAGTAGTGTATATCTTTAATGCCAGCATTCAGCATTAAAGTCTAAAAAACAAGTTCCAGGGTAGCTAGGACTACACAGAGATACCCTATCTTGAGAAACCCTCTGCTTCTTGGGAAAACCAAGTTGATGAAAAAGAACTGCCTAATGCTTATTTAACTAAATGCTGTGCCAGTATGTTTCATCAACTGTCAGGGTTATGCTAGGAGATACCAATTAGAAATTCAAAAATCATTCACAAATGTACCTACTCCTTGGATATCTAAGATAGCCATTTCTTTCATTAATTCTTTCTTACCTAAGACTACGTGAGAACTTTTCTGTAGGCTTATAGTGCAAAGGGGATTTTGCTAACACATAAGTTATCATAGAGCCATATAATTGTACGAACAGGTAAAGTTACCCAACTTAACAGCATTCTATATGTTTGCTCACAAAGAAAAATCCTGTTCTACCTTACCATTTTTCATTGCCTTAGATTTATAATTAGATTCAGTAAATATTTATTGAACTAAGTAATGAGCCAATGCCTGCCAAATCTTCCTTTAAACATTGAATGACTACATCAATATCATTGATTAATTTTCTCAGCATCCAAACTCTTTTCTCATTTTTACAACTAAAACAAAGTTCATTATTAAAAATAAGCAAAAAAGGAACAAAACAACCTTCTTATCAGAATAACAATAAAGAGGCTTATAAAAATATGAATTTTTAAGATGTAAAATGTAGAAACAGAAAAAAAAAATCAGGTAGATTATAATTAGTATAGTGATAAAAATTATTAAATTAACTTCGCCATACTAAAAACATCTACATTTCTTACTAAAGAGTTAAATGACCATTTCCTCACTTACAAAATAATCAGACAAATTATAAACCTTGACTCAACATTTTTATAATAGCTCTAATCAAATCACAGTAGCCTAGGGGATAAACCAGTGTCTATTAAAGCATACTTTAGGAAAACTGGTACGAAAGTGTTCTTTCCCCAAAAAATTTGACTGGAGCAATATTACACTTACAAAATTATACCCCAAAATGTCAAGAAACACAGTTAATGTTGAGTTTCTACTTAATTTCATTCCCTGGGGTAAAAGTATTAGCACCTCTGTACAAGAAGGTTGATAATTCAATATATTCAATATACTTTCTGACATTTCTGCTCTTCATTTTTCAAATTTATGCACCTAAGTAAAGAATGTACCTAGAAACTATGATAGCTTCCTGCCTAAAGCAAAGTATTTACATGTGTCCTTACAAAGCTATCAGAGCAAAGTTTCTGCTGATATATACAAGATGGCATGGCACTAGAAATCTTCTATAGAGCAAAAGTATTTTCTGAATATACATAACGCATACAACTTCTGGCTTTGAAAAGGCAGCTAACCTTGAACAAGGTCTTTTATTTACATTTAAAGCTTACTATTCAAAAAATTCTATTGAGGATGGTATTTAACTCTATTCATATACCTTACATATAAAAAAAGAAATGTAATCTGAATTTTCTTCAAGTATCTGCATCAATACTTGAAAACTTAGTACTAAATGCATGAAAAGTAAAGGTACTAACTAAGCTTAGAACACAAAGCTAGCTGAGACAAGGGTCACACTGTATCTAATAGCTATTAGCCATTATATGATCATTTGGATATTTAAATAATCTAACCATTTCTGTTCTGTACCAAACTGAGTCTTCCAGGCAGTGACATCATAGGAAGTTGTAACCTCTAGTGTGCTGGTTATTTTTTGTCAACTTGACACAAACTAGAGTTAAAAATAAAGACAAAACCTCAATTGAGGAGTAGGGCCCATCAGATCACTCTGTAGGCATATCTGTGGGTCATTTTTTGACTGATGGCTGACGTGGGAGGGCCTAGCCTACTGTGGGCAGTGCCACCCCTACCCAAATGACCTTGGATTTTATTAAAAAAGCAGGCTGACTTCCCTCAATGATGAACTGTGGAAGATAATCAAGTTTACCAACAAGCAGAAGTCTCTCCAGGCACTCTGAGATCCTATTTCATTAACAATGTATACATCATGAGATTGTGCCTAACATAAAGGCTCATTAGCTAAATACATATGTGGTTTGACTATGGCACTACTTATAGTTATTTCTTTACCAACATAAGAAACTAGATACAAGAATTCAACTCTGAATGACTATAATGTCAAGCATCCAAACAGAAATCCAAAGCCAGAAAGAAGAGGACAAAACGCTGCACCAAAGAAAACAAAAGGTGACTGGAGTCAGAAAAATTGCTAGGCTGAATCAAATGAAGCTGGTAATAGCCAATAGTTTATTCTTTCAAGGACTGCCTCTGACATAATCTGATTGGCCTGCTGTTTGATCACCTCCCCTTATGGGGGGAGCATCCTTACCAGGCCACAGAAGATGACAATGCAGCCACTCCTGATGAGATCTGAAAGACTAAGATCAGAAGGAAGGAGAAGAGGACCTCCTCTATCAGTGGGCTTGGGGAGGGGCATGTGTGAAGAAAGGGGAAGGAGGGTGGGATCGGGAGGGAAGGTGGGAGGGGCTTATGGTGAGATACAAAGTGAATAAAGTGTAATTAATAAAATAATAATAATAATAATAATAATAATAATAATAATAATAATAATAA